GATTAATTACGAATTGCAGCGGCCGTACAAGCAAACGCAACAAATGCTAGAGTTGAATGGACTTCGGGCGCCATAGGCAGGGGTGCCAAAAAGGTTGGGCGATTTTCTGATGTAACTGGGGGCTGAAAACTTTTTGCTACGACAAGTAGGTTAGATTTTGACAGCAAAATAAATTAATAAAGCTTCCGAATTCGAATTTCGAAAATAATGTCAATGCGCAGGACTCAGGAGTCTAACTGAATTTCGGCGTCAACAGTTTTATTAAATTAAAATTAATACTTTGTACTTTTTAGTAGAATATTATCATGGATAACGAATACCTATTCAAAAACAGACTTTCTATGAGCTTGGGTCTCTCTCTACCAAATTGTTGCATAGAATTACGAGTAGTTTATAGGTAGAGGTATAGCTATTTGCATTAACTTGGAGGGCATTCAAAGCATAACAATGTTGTAAATTCTCCCAAAACGGCTAATGGCAAGTCTCAAGTCAAGTTCAGTGCCTCAGCCTAAAAACAAGGTCGATGCCAATGACAGCGTTGAAAGCCCGGCCACAGTTGGCAGCCCTGGCTGCGCGGGAGTGCGTTCGGAAGGCGGTTAGTTATCGATTTTATATAATTCTTGCGTAGAGGCTACATCCATATAGTACGGAGTAGGTTGTGATATAAATAGAGCAATGGCATGCGAATGCCCACGTGTAGCTCAAATATGAAGATGTGTTAACTACGACTAACGCCATTAAAGTAAACTACCGGGCACTGGTATGGAAAATTGATTTTTCTACCTGTCAGTTTGCGCAGCAAATGTTGTAAACAACTCTACAGGCAAGATAAACATTGTAGCATCTCATGTTCTTGTAATAGATCATAATACGAGTAGATGCTATTTAGCGATAAAAGTTTGATTACTGGTTCATATTATTGCATAATCATTCCAATGCTCTAAATTGATTGATTTTGATTTGAATTAAAACATTAAGGTAGCGGGAAGGCGCTGGATGCAGGCCGCCACCAACCGGCCATTGTGAAAATCATTGGGGGAGGCCTATGTTCAGCAGTGGACGTCCTATGGCTGAAATGATGATGTTGAAAAACATAAATATCAAAATCTATCACAGTGAATCTTCAGATTTGTTTATCGTAATTTAAAACAAACACTATTCATAAATGTTACATCACCAAATGTTGCATCCTAAAAGACCTTCAGCCGTTCGTGGCCTTGGTGTTTCGTTTTGGTATCAAAATAAAAAACTATCAAAACAAATGCTCCATTTGATTCTAAAAGTTCTGGGCACGTGTTTTGACCAAGGCCAAACAGAACGTTTTGCCTGTATCTCTTTAAATATGGAAATGGAAAGATTCCATTTGCGATACTGGGTTTTAAGGTCTTGTGGTTAGGGTTACTTGAGTGTGTGACAATGTAACATTCGATTCGTAAAACAAAGTATGCAATACATTAAGTAACCAATATCATTGTCATTATCATCAGTTCATTTAGTCGACGATTAGTATCATGAGTTAGTACTATTAATTATCATCTTCAAATCAGTAGCCCAACATCCTTGGGGGGTCGCACCAGACCATTATGGGGAATAACGCGCTGTCTCGGAGTACGACCCTCTCTAATACCAGAGGCAAATGGAAGATTTGGCTTACAGCCCCCACGCTGGCCAGTCGGGTTGGTTGGGAAGGCTCATGTTTGTGAATTCTATTCTAAATTGTGTAGAAGCACTGTATAGCAGTTTAACGGAGATAATAAATCTTATTTCCTAATGGTGTATCTGATGCAACTATGCAATAGCATTTCTGGTTATTGGTGCCAACTGACACACACAATCTCTGAGATTATGATATATCCGTATTAACAACAAAATAGTTAATTGTATAAACGGTAGCACGTCATGAAAAACATTGTGGTATCTTAATTATGTACCTAGTTCCAATTAGTGCTATTTTGCTACAAAAATAGTCTGATGTAGTTACTGTCGAGTGTGTAGGTTATCAGTTATCAGTCACTGGTGGTCTTTTAATTAAGTTTTAATTGGACTCCGGAATTCTATGGTTTAAAATTAGTGTTTAGAAAAATGAGCTCTTAATCCTACCTGACTACAAATTGAAAAATCACTTGGTCTCTAATAAATCACTACCAGGTAACTTTAAGGAGTGAATATATATGCTTTTTTACTATTTTAACCTCTCGTTTCTAATGCATGCTATTGCAAGCTAGGATGTGCCTACTACACTACAGATTTACCATCAATAAAACCAAACACTGAAGGCTTGTAGTAGGTAAAGTTAAACTGTCATTGGATCCCAGAATTAATCAGAATAAAACCAGGACTTGGAAGTGAAGTTAAGGATACGGATCGTCTTTCCCTTGTGCAACAAGTATTATATTGTTGTTGAACAAATGAATGTAATAAGTAACATATCCTCCATTTGCCTCTAAGTACCTACTATATTGGAAAGGTTCTCCTGCAATGGAGACTAAAGAACTTAAATTCTGGCTTTCGACAAGTAAAATGCTGTTAGCCAATTTTTAAATGTTCCCAAATCTACCGAATGATTAGTACTATTAATAGCACATGAATGAGCTAGTATTATCCGACCTTCGCCCAGCATCCTGGTCGGGCATTCTTGGACGGCAGCCGATGTGACCACGTGCAAGTCTTTGTGCAGACAAAAGGCATATCAAGCTGAAAACTGTGGCGTCTTATGTCGTTGTATTAGATACTATTTTGCAGTAAGCAACTAAGTAAGTACAAATGTATAGTGTCATCTGCTGTCGTCATATGATATTCGATGATTATGGGTACGATGTTATTTCAGAATGGAATGCAGGATTAGACTATTAAATTTTAGAGTGTATGACTTATAAATTGGTGTTAGAGGATTACACTGCGAGGGTGGTGTACTGGTGTCGTGTGTGACGTGACTCAGATCTCAATTATGCAGCGAAGAATATCTTGATGACTATTCTGCTATCATGGGTTGGGTATCAGACTTCAACCACTGCAGTTAAGTGGGTTGAATTTAGACAGGGGCAAATGTTTCTGTAATGAGCAAGAGTAAACATCCTTGAATCTATAAATTGGATCAAAATTAAATACTTTAAGCAAATAGAATGCAGGACCGTTATCCTTATTATTTTAAGATTCGATTATTATATTAATCTTAATACCCGTTATTGGTTTGGTAATTAAAAAGACATCTGACGATCAGAACCCTATTGACGACGATCAGAATCTTTTTGGTAAACATTGAAGATGATGGTAGGTAAATGCATGGAATTCTTTGAGTTTCTTCTCAGGATATACTCGAACTTAAAAAGTATTTATTAAAATTTAAGATAATGTAAACAAAGAATACAACAAAAAGAGAGCGGACGCCGGAAATCATTAGACAAACAGAAGATAACGAATTAGTTTTAAAATGTACAAAATAAGCTAAAGATAATTAAAATCCGCTTCGTCCAGACAATTATATCTCACAGCGATGGATCGGCATGTCGTCGGAGATAGTCCCGAAAATAACGTCGAATACCTCCGTCTCTGCCAAAAATCCCGTGTTATTGTTTACTTAACGTTAGTTTAACGAGCGTCGTTTGGGTCGGATATGCGCGCCTAAATTCCTTGGGTCTCTTTGTATTGAATGAGCTGTGTCATCATCAGTACTCATTGTATATTCTGATGTTTATTTACCTATCTGAATTGGACTCTTAATGAATATTCAGTTGTAACAAACCCCTGGTATCCGATACGTAAGTCTAATAATCATCACTGCAGTAGAATGACTCTGTAATTATTACTTAGAGGCAAATGGAGGATTTGGCTTACACTCACCACGATAGCCAACGGGTTGGGTTATATTATGCATAGCATACATATATGTAGCCCTTTTTGGGTCATTTTGGACTAAGATTATTGAAACAGGTTTCAAGGATAACGACGAATTGAATGAGAACGGGATCTGTTAATGACTCTACAATGGTAAATGTTAATTAGTGTTGAAGTATGGGTGATCAATACCTATAATTAGATTGATTAAAGTCCATCCATTGCTGCAAGTGCCGATAAAAAGTACTCAACTACATTGACTAATTAGATTACCTACATCCAAATTAAAGATAAAATGCTATTTTTACAGTCCACGCCAATGGAAATGGGAATCTTGCACATAAATGAGACTTACGCCAGAATTCACAAACATTACTATAAGATCTCACAATGCGCGTGAACGCACAGGGTGACAAAACCAATCACAGAGCTCTATTCAACACTGTGCGTTCGATTTGCTGCTTCACATAAGCAAGCATCGTTTGTGAATACGGGCGTTACACTGAAATAGAGTCGTCTACGTCTCTAGTGATGGGAATAAGCCGATCTTTGTTTCAATGTATCACAAAGATTTATGACAACAAAGTGAAGTTTAAGTTTAATAGCATAAAAAGGGATATTACAAGATTGGTATTGACATTGGCTGTATGTGATAGCAGACGACGGTGATATGCTTCATCCATCACAGATTATCACCCGCAACGTTAGTGTGATAAAAAAATGAGATTTACTTAGTAAAGTCCGTAATGAAACACTATTGCACTTGTGGCTGATATAAACTGACTCATTTATTGCTGAGACCGCACCCTTTCGCTGCGCGTGCGCTGAATCAAAAGGAACGTTTGGTACGAGGAGATACATGACTTTCCTAGTCATATGGTTGGCTCCATTATCTATCAAACTTAGCCTCGGGAAGAGGTTCTTCCGTTTTACTCCATGATAAACACTGTGCAACAACGTAATATGGGGCCAATATAATCCTCTCTGATGTGTTGGAACATTTCTAGGAGGCAAAGGTCTTAACAATATTTTACTTGCCTATAGGCTGACTGGGGTTGTATACCACTTAGCTGTAAAGTTTCCTCACATCCAAAATGTCGCATAATAATGTGAACTATCAACGAAAATAATAAATTTATGTAATTTCAATGGAAAATTATTCTCACCTCCAACAGGGTCTGTCTCGTCAACGTGAATCATGTCTGAAGATCTGAAACAAAAACAAATATCACTTAAAACGTGGAAAAAATCTCTACGTTAGTAACTAAATCAACGCCGGAACTGCATTTGCGATAAATTGCTACAGGAAACTAATATTTGCCATATCGAATATCTGTGTAATTGATTTGAAGCGGTTATTTTAGATTATTTAATCCGAAACTAACAAAAAATTTAACTTTAGAACAAGAGTACCTAGAATAATAATAATAATTAAGACAAAAATATAATAATAATAATAAATACTATTTATTGCACACTAGATAAAAAGAACAAAAAGAAAAGGAACACATAAGGTACAATTAGGCGGTGTTATCGCTATGAAGCGATCTCTTCCAGACAATCTAATACTGTAAATAATTCATAATCTTGTGATTATATCACCTTTAAATTAATGATCACTTAATCTAGATCTTTTAAAATACAAGATGGTAAGGTAATTGAACTCATTAAGGCTCTTGAGCTTATAAAATCCTTTGTTATCCGGTATTTTTGTACCAGAATAACAAACTTCATCAGCTTTATGACTTTCAAACAATGCTGAGATTTTGTTATCTTGGGGATTAATAAAATATGAGTATTTAATAAATTGAAAAACAATACAGAACAACAAAGGTTAACATCAGGATCGTTTTCAGCTTCAGCACAGTTTCTTTGAAGCGTGGGGATTATGGCAAAACCCTCCACTATAGTGGAGGAGGCTCATAGTCCAGCAGTGGACTGTAAAGGGCTATTGATGATGATGATGACAGTTTTTTTACAAAGCGTCTCTACATTTTCGTTAAAGATTTCAAAGTATGTTTATGATGCTACGAAAGATGTAGCTATGGATACATTTATAGCTTAGTTTTGTCAATAATTTATAGGACTCTAATGTTTGAAAAATCACGTAATTTAGAATCCAAGAACTAACAAGGTTAACAGATGATAAAATTGGTAAATATTTTACATCGAAATCGCGCGAGTATCCGAGCGCATATTAACCGTAGTGCAGTTCCAGAATCCGGGTCGGCTATTTGGGTTTACAGACTCGCCTACCCCGTTTATGTAATGGATTGTTAGTAAAGTGACTCCAGTCTAGTAAGTAGCTATCATCTCTGCTTTGAATATTACTAGATTTTGCCCGTGGCTTCACCCGCCTGATATTTTGTCTGTCACAGAAAAAGCTTATCACGCGCGTTTCTGTTTAAAAAACCGGGATTAAAACTATCCTATGTCCTTTTCCGGGACTCAAACTATCTCTACAAATACCAAATGTATACCAAATTTCATTAAAATCGGTTCAGTGGTTTAGGCCTGAAAGCGTATCAACAGACAGAGTTACTTTCGCATTTACAATAAGTATTAGTGGGAAAGTAGGGATTAATGCTTTCATCACATTCTTAATCAGCCTGTTAGTCCAAGATAAATAGTGTGAGTTGTTTTATTGCTATAGCTCTATTATGTTTTCTAATTAGTTTACCACAGAATAATCTTTACGATTCGTACTGTAAACTTTCCAGACGAAACCAATGCCAGGGACTTACTTGCGTCAGTGGGTAAATAAATACATATCGTAATATCCAGTTATCCACTTCGAAACATTTAAATAAACTACCACAGATTCTCAAATCCCATCGCCGGGTTCAGTTTCAAGTACACTTTAGATTGTGATCTAACTAATTGGTTTTACCGTATCTCTTACTGCTTACATCGGGTCAAACTCAGTTTTAAAGCTTTTTCTGTAAAGCTTTTTATGAAATACAACCTTTTAATGTAGAGTTCACAGCACAACAGACATTCTTGCATCAAAATTGTGCCAATTACAAAAATACCCTTGTCTGCATCTTCCAGATTCTAGATTTGAGGTATAAATTCTGTTGGAAGAAAACTGGACTCTCATTTGCCGAATATTCGATCCGATTACGATTTGTATCTACGATAAAAAACTTAAAAAGCAACTTTGTATGTTCTGCAGAATAGAAACCCACGATCTCAATCTCAATGATCAAAGCACAAAATGACAAATGAACCAAGAAACAGCGGTTTGGGCCGAATCATAAATAAATGTTTTGAAGAAAAATGTCTTAGAACTAGGGCAAGGTCGGTGTAATGAGCATGTGCTGTTGATTGGCCCACATGTGAGTAATCGCTGTTAGAAACACTATTAATATACAACGTTTGTAAATAATTGCATTCCGATGTTAGCGTAGGCTGGAGACAGTAAAACAAGAAAAATTAAGGCCAATTTAATGTCACGTGCGACTTGTCTTTTGTTTACTTTAACTTGTCGCACAAAAACTAGCGTTCAGCTTCAAAAATGGCTACTAGATTATGTTGGTACACAATCGCTATATTATGGCTCTATGGGATACATTGATAACGGAAAAAGATTTTTCTATGGTCAGATGCCATTACTCCTCCCAGAGACACAAAAGATGTGTTTCATGACCATCATCATAATTTTTTAGCCATAGGACGTCCTGATTTCCTGAACATAGGTCTCTACGCATATAATATGGGAGGTGAAATCGCCAGGTATATGTGAAAAACGGATGTGAAAGCAAGAACAATGGGTTTTCCGGATCATTGTTACGTGGTGGTTGGTGCCTATCTGATCTTGTTTTTAAATAGGCACTTAAGGATCTTAGGTATCTGATTCTGATACACAGTAATAACTTTAAAATTTTAATCTCGGTGGATATATTGAGCAATTTTAACTGTACTGTACTTACATAGCCGTATTTTGGAACAGTGCTTAAGACTAGATTCAAGCCAGATAGATTCAAGATGGAATAAATATGGAACGTATTTATGTGTGTAGGTAATCACATCACCTATCGTCACATACAAGAAGTAGGTAGTTACCTAATTACTTGAATAAGACAATTAGTCACATTGAAAAGTAGGTAGGTAATATAAAAATGCAGCTATCATATAAGACGTTCATTAGGTCGTTATCGAAAATGAATTCGATAAAACCGATTACTTATCAATTACCTTAACACGTAGGTATACATACTTAAGTAAAGATTATCACTTCGTTTTATGCAACTTTTCAATTACGTCAAAATTCTATAATTATGAACCAAATTCGAGAAGAATCCACAATATTAATTATGGTATCCTTCCGTTTGGCCAAATTACTTTTCGCCAAATTTCACTTCGCAAACAACTTATCGCCAAAGTTTCATTTCCCAAATGAACTTTTAGCAACTGTACTTTTCGCAACTAATTCATTTGGTCAAATTATCACTTGGCCAAATTTTACTTGGCAAATGTTTTATTTTGCCAAATATTATATCCCAAATAATTTGTTTGGTCAAATTGACACTTCACATACTTACCCACCGTTACCCACAAATCAAACCATAAGGCAGATGATCATGTTTCACAAGAATTTTATGTAAAACAAAGAGATTGCAGAAAATAGTATGGTTGCAGAAAGTAGGTATTGCATAAAATAGTAGGTTAGGTTAGGTTAGAACAGTGACCCTTAACGCGCGAAGGCGAGCTAAGCGTGCCGCGGCAGCGGCCGCCGAGCGCTAGAATCACCTCTATTGTTAATGAATCATTTGGAAATTTTGATAAAAACAATGAAATATGAAAATTAATTTATAAAAAAAATTATATTAACTACCCACTAAACAAAATAATAACCACAAGTTAATATGTATTCCATTCTATGCACCAATCAAATTATTTTTTAAATAATGTATCGTGAAATATTTTTGCCAAACGAAACGTTTGCCAAAACATACTTTGCCAAACAATAATTTGCTAAACAATAATATGCCAAAAAAGACATTTGCGAATTAATTTGCCAAATGAGAATTTGCCAAATGAAAATTTGCGAAACGTTGTTTGCGATGTGATAATTTGGGAAACGTTTTTTGGCCAAACATTAGTAATCCATTAATTATACTCACAGTAACTCCTTGAAATTAGTCTTATGTATTATTTTATTACCTCATGTAAGAGATCAATGTCACTGATCAATTACTGTACTAATGCAATCAGCAGCAAAATCTATTAACTTTGATAAAGATTGTAAAACAAAAACTTTTGTGTAGATAGCCTTATCACGGTAGAGCTCGGTAGCCACCATACTAACAAATGTACTAATTCGCATAAACAAAAAACAATAACGCAAAATGCAAACTGATCATAGAGTTATTAATTATTTTTCTCTAGGTAAATTCGGTTTTTCCACCGCCTCTATTGTTGTTTGATGGTCTGTTGCTTTCTTTGGTCTACCACTGGTCTACCATTATACTCGTATCTAGGTGCTCTGTGATGCTAAAGAAATATCTGTTTGTAAGCATTACTTGTTCATCTCATCACAAACAATTTGATAGAAGAAGTAGAAGAAGAATTTTCCGTCCATGTTGTCCTTTTTAGTACACTGTCCATTCTTAACATAATTTAACGTCCAAATAACTCTATGTCTGTCTAATTCTCACGGTCCATCATTCACTGCACCTATCTATGTCCCTTATTTTATCTATTTCGTAAAATCCGATAGAACAAAGAAAGTATAAGTTGAGAAATGTAGGTAAAACTCCGATAAGCTACATTCTACGAGCGATAGTCACGCGCGTGTTGCGAATGAGTTTTTCAAATGCTACTTGTATCGGATGTATTTTATTCGATGCTATTTGAATTGCAAACTTTGCGCCAGATATTATCGTTGAATTTCATTTAAAGATTAAAATATGGCTTCAGTTTCAGGAAGCCTGAAATCTAATGAAGATATTTTCATATTCAGGAAGTAGGTCAACACGAGCTGATGTTCTAAAAGGCATATGCATCGAAAAAATGATATTCTAGCCGAAACCTAAATAAAATGTAATTATAAAAGATACGGCTTACAGCTGTCGGTGAGTTTTCTTGAAAACGGCTAATGGGCTCATCTCGACTTTAATACATAGCATTTGGCATCACTAGAGTTAATAGGGCGACACTCGGTCCGTATAAATTCCTCATGTCACAAGCACGACGGCAATCCAGAAC